CACCTTGAATTTAGCTTGAAAACCACAGCTACATAGCTACCCTGGGTGTCTATACCTGGCAAGGTGCCAACTACACCTTTTTTTCAAGGTGGCCTGAACAGAGTGTTTTAGGGCAGCAAACCCTGGTCTCAGGCCACCTTGAATTTAGCTTGAAAACCACACCTTTGAAGCCTCATGCGCGCCATACCCGAGAACAGAACTGTAGCTACTTGTAGCTACCCTGGGTCCGTATAAATAGTATGTTGCTATACCTCTTACACACCTATACAAGTTCAAAGCACGAATGAGACTTCAAAGCTGTGGATTGCTGTGCGTGTGTAGAGGTTCTCAAGCGGTTGACGGAAAGGGAACTTGAAGTACTATACCTGGTAGCTGCACTATAGCTACCCTAGGTCTCTATACCTTGCAAGGTGCCAACTACACCTTTCCATTCAGATGATGCAAATGATGCATTTGGCATTTCTTGCATCACCACCCCTCAAAAATCACCTCCAACACAACCTCAAAAAACCTTCCCTCGGAGCACCCTCCTCCCCCAGCATGCGCCGAGTTGACGTATACCTTTCTCGGGCCACCCCCCCAGACCCCCTAACTACTCACTTCGTTCGCCAGACACAACTCCGCTAGCGCCTTCTACGAAGGCTGGCTTTCGTAACATACACGCAAACAAAAATATATACAACGGTTTCTTTGTTTGCTTCCTGGACCGCAAGTCCCTTGGAACCATCATAACATATATCATAAAGTCGTCTGTTCCTTCTGGATGGTGTTTTTGCTTTTTGTTCCGCCTTGTTGATTGTGTGCTTAGGTCATATACTGCAGTGCACTCGTTTCGTTTGTTTGCTTCTACCTGAGAGATGCTTCTTGCAAACGGAAACAAAAGACAGCGTATGAGACTGCAACGCTGCGCCTTGTGACCAACGACGCACCTTCCTGTCAGACAGGTTCGGTCGCTCAGCACCAAAGCCCGACGCTAAAATGTTTTGGAGAGCCTCATCGCACCTCAATAATTCTGCAGCAGTTGGTCCTTACAAAGATTGGAGGGACTTTTTCTTTTCTCGCCACTGTCAATGCCAAGTGTGCGCATTTGGACACTTCAGTGTCACTGTGACCCCCAGGCACAATTGACAACCACTGATTTGTAAATTGCAAGAAGTTCTTTCCTGCGAGATTTCCCCTTGATGTTCACGTGAAGGCTCCGCTGGCAAGCATCCAAAATTTTTGCAGTTTCATCACATCTTGCCTCTAAACCTACAGCAACGTCCAACACAGCAGCGGCCAAAACAGGAAAATCTGCAATGCCGTGGAGGACTCTTGGCGCAAGTTTCCGCGCCAGATCCAGGCTGCAAGCCAAAATCCGATATTTCATCGCTTCTGCTACCCCTTTGCGTCGCAAACCCTTGAAAAGCAAGCTTCGCAATTTGAAACGATGAGTTTGTTTCTGTTGATGTTTTTTCAACAGTCTTGCACACCTTCGGAATCCGCATACCTTCTCATAGGTTTGCGTGCCCGCATCACACGAAATCCGCTCTCGCGCTGTCAGTTCCACTGCCTGGACCATGAACAACACATGGCCGTCAATATCAAACCAAAAATGTTCATCGAACATTGCCTCTGCTTTGTTTGCAATTGGTTTCATACCACGATCCCCTGCCGTGCAGACATGAAATACAAAGTGGCAGTTTGAGAACAAAGCTGACTTGCATCTGGTTTTCAGTGATTTACAAGCCTTGTTCTGCATCAGTTTCTCGGTTTTGATGCCCGGATAATGCAGGCTCCTTTGCACGTCACGCACCTATTTAATGTGAAAATGTTTTGATCTGACAACGCACTTGATCTGACAACGTGAGAATGTTATGCAATATGGCCTCATGGTCGATGGACACAGCTGCCACAACCTCATAGCACACACCACATGCATTTTGCAACAGCCCTGAAAAAAGTATCGCAACGTATCGCCTGCGCGCTAGCATTGTCATCACTATAAAGGTCAGCTTCCTGCAGTTGCAAATCATAAAGCTTTTCATGTAACAAATACACTCTACCAGCTCCAACCGCACAAACCACATAGCGTTTTCTCCTGAACATCAAGCAAGATCAAAAAACCTCTGGCAAAATCATGATCCAAATCTTTCGGAAGAGCTCCACACCGTAGAGCTTCTTCAATAGTAATGCTTGCCCTGTAGTTGTTGTATCTCATGAAGGAACAACTTCTGGCCTTCAGCAACACGCACTTGTGTCAAAACAACAATTCACACAGGCCACATATGTAATTCCTTGAATTTCCTTGACATCAATGCAACCACGAAACGCGTTTGGGATTCTCCTTTTGGAAGCAACACTTCCAACTCGTCTTCCATGTTGTAGGCGTTCTCTTCAGAGACTTGCCCATGGCCGTATTGCAGGTCAGTCTTTGGAGCTTGCTAGTAACGAGAAGTTACTTTGGGAATTCTTTTACCTGAAGTAACGAAAAATGACAGGATCGCAACACTATGCACCGTCACCAATCCTGGCTCAAGATTGTGACAGCCCTATATTGGGGTTTCTTGCTGTAAGTTTCCAGCAATCAATTGACAGTTTGAAAGGCACGCGTTGCTTCCAGATGTCGTCCCAGTGCTGCATGCTGGACTTTTGATGCCAAGCGGGAAATGGTAGCAAATGCAAAAATACAAAACCACGAAAACAATATCAAACATTCGAAGTCCCACAGCAAGTCTGCAAAGTTTCTTGTTAGGATGGAACTTGTGCGCGCCTTTGCTTCAGCAGGGCAGGCCTTCAACGCAAGTCTTGGTTTCGATCGTTTTTTTTGAAGCTGGAAACGAAAAGAACATTAAAAAACAAACTCTAAGGTCGACAGGTGGGACGCATCAAAAATTGGCGCTTCTAAGGTCCTTCCTGTGCCCTAGGCTTACCATGTCCGCAGCTTCGAAGCAAATGCATTTTTTCAAGCTGGCCGGCTCTCCGCATTTGTTTCTTGCCCTATTCAGGTTTCTGTAGGGGACCTGCCTAACCGCCGACACTTCTTTGCATTTTCTGGAGTGAACACGATTTCTTGTTTGTCCCTCCGTGGGCCACCAAGTTCTTGTGCAAGTTGAAGCAACCTTTGCATTCCCGTTTTTGCAGCCTGGGCTTCCTCTTCTCGCACAAGCTGCCTTGCATTGATCAAAAAGGTGTCTTCTGATCGTCCGGAAATACTCAGCAAAGCATACTGCGTAGCCCCTGGCCGGGGCGGGTCCAAGCGCATGCTCAAAGTGTCGTCCAAGTTGCAAATTGCTTTGCACTTGTAGTGGCCCGAAGGGTTCAGACCGCACTGAATCATTTCAGTAAGAACAACATAGCCCGCGCCATTCGCGACCTGCGTCAGCTTAGATTGTTTGTGACTGGTGATCAAGCACAGTGCGCGCTGACAACCGACAGCCTCACTGCCAACCACACAGGCAAGGTTGTAGATGGAGCTGCTTTGGACATTTTCCAACAAAGACGGTGTCACCTGAGAGGTGCTTGCTGCGCAGGCACGGAGGAACGGCAAGAGATCTCCAAAGCTGAGCAGTTCAGTAAGCCGCTGAGCCGCAGCCTCCACGATCACAAGGTCAGAAGTGGATCGGCTCAACACCCGGACAGATGACAAAAGAGGCAAAGACAAGGCCTTTCCATCCTGCACCGCCTCTAGGAATTCACTCCTTGTGCAGCCCCCCATCAATTCAAGAGCAGCCAGTTCCCTGATCCAGCATTCAGTGCTTCCAGTCATATCTCGCAGACTGCATAGGAACCAGATTCGCCCCGTCTTGCTCACATAGTCGGCTTTTGCCACGGTAAGCTCGCACCAGTTCAGCTGCCACAAGACGCCCTTGAGGCTGTCATTTTCACGTGTCACTCTTTCTAACAAAGAAACAGTTGTGTTCACCGCTGGGTCTTGCTTGTACGACTGCGTGTCATCTTGGAGAACAAGGTCTGGTGCCATGGTCTGCTTGTTCTCTGGAACGCAAGCCGCCAAGGTCTCAAAGTCAATGGGCAATTGCGTGTCTGGGGGCGCCTCGGTCACCAACATGTTCCTGCTGGATTGTACCACGTAGCCATTGCCAGAGTCATGTTTGCCGGCAAGAGCGTAAAAGCATAACGGCTTGCGCTTGGCCAAGCCTTCTTTGACAAGAAGCAGCTCCTGAGGATCATGCTCTCCTGCGTCAAACCACATGGACACTGTCATCGCAACGTGCTTTTCCATATTTTTGCTGCCGTCTTCGATCACTATCTCGCAAACCCGCCGCCCACTGCCAATGGTTTTCAACTCCTCCACTTTCGTGACAAATCCCATGACATCAAACTGTTGCGTTGTCTGCAGGGATAAGCATTCAGCCACCTGAATTCTGGGCTTTGGAAACCAAGTCTTGTCGGGTTTCTCCTTCACAACGTTGACCTTCGTCGCCTGCAAGTTCACCACCTTCTTGATGGGAGTGTGCACGTAGGCTAATTTGGAATCAGCCAACTTCACTCGCGACAACTCCAACACACTGGAGCTTGTATACTTCTTCAAGGCTTCTTCAGCAACTTTTGGTTGCTTCTTGGAGGGCTTCACTTCTCCCATGCAATAATCTCCGCTTTCACCACTCAGAAGGCAGCAGAACATTTTGCACCGAACTTCGCTCCCATTCCAAGTGTATTGCACATCGACCAACCGAGGGAAGTGGACTTGAACTCGAAATGTCAAAAGATCTGCTGCCCCTCCCATGGAAAGATCTGTCAAGGAAGCCATCGCAATAAACCATAGAGCGGCCCTAGCTTGAGAAGAGTCCTTCGGTCGATACTAGTCATCATACAAGAGCGCTAGCTTGAAATGGTTTAGCCATCATACAAGTCTGTTTCCACCGAATGAATCCCGAGCAGGGCTTGGCCCTAACGCAGCACCGAAGCATCAGAAGTACCAGGACTAAGAAAAAGAAATGCATCCTCAGGCCCAGGCATTGCAAAGAATTGTTGCCGGTTGTTGGTGCAAAGCGTTCACCTGCATGGCAGTCACATGCACAAAGCCGGACCATGAAGCAAAAACACCTATCTGCCACGAAACATGCGTACAGGCGGACCAATAAGCAAAAACACCTGCTCGCACCGACCACGGTTTCGATCCAACGCAGCATCGTAGCAGCAGAAATCTAAACGCTTGGGGGGTGGTCAAAACATCGAACCTTTAAACCTTCCAAGTGAAGCGTGCGAGTATGCTTCAAGCATGCAAGTGTTTCAGGCGCTACAGCCCCGTGTCGTGAGGTGTTTCGCCATTGCTTTCTCCAGTTTGCGCAAGCAGCGGGCGCAACAGCAGCAATGGCAACCACGACGGAGCCAAGAAGTGCAGGACACAACCAGTCATGCAAGCAAATGAGCGCCGACACATCCTTTTCAACAACCTTGACTTGTTTCGCGGGGCATGGCTTCATGTGCATGACATGATCTCATGCCCAGGCCATGATATCGTGCACATGACATGATAACATGCAAATGATATGATAACGCGCGCATAACATGATGCCATGCACAGGAAAGCAATACGACCATGTGAAACACCGTCGTCAGCTGTCCCAATCATTCTATTCACGCATCTGCTACAATCGATATGGTAGCGGTTGCGCTAATCTTTCATGCGCAGAGAAGATACTAGCAGCAATAGCGCCACCA